TTATTATTATTATCATCATCATTACTACAGCTAGCTGTAAAGGAAAGGGATCGTAAAGAGTTATTGTTGAAAGGGAAGAAAACAGAATGCATTCTTTAAAAAAAAGCAGTAAATCCTGTTTGTAATCTCAAAAGCAAAGGTGAAGAAATGAAACAAGTTTAACAGTTGAAATATCTGGAATATTAGTGGCGTCCAAAAGAAACTTGAAAGAATTAAAATAATCACCAAATCATCGTGTTAAAGCTTCGCATAACCTACTCATGCAGCATACCAATTTAAAGGTAAATGAACTCTGAATCATCTGACACATTAATAAATCATCTATGCAAATCCGGATTTTTTAAGGTCAGTTTTGAGTGACCTTATCTAGGTCGTCTCTTAACATAGATGAAATATTAATGTGTCAGAAGATGCAGAATTTATTCAGCTTTAAATTTGTATGCTGCTTGAGGGGGTAGTGCAAGCCTATAACCTATAACATAACACGATGCTTGGGTGATTACATTTTAAAGTTTGTTTTGGACGCCTCTATATAATTACATCTGATGCCAAATAAATTGCAAACAAACAGCCCCTATGAGGCTCTGTATACAATACAGGGCAAATCAACATCGAGAAATACGTCAGATAAATGAGCTTCAAGCTTTTAAAAAAATTTTTTAAATAGTAATTTTGGATTTTTACAACCTGAGACATCACATTCTTATCTTCACTGTCTCGCCATTATATTATAAACCCGTCCTACTCAAAGTTCTACTTCCACATCCCATACTCGCGACGTACTAAATTAATTCAAGTTGTAATTGAATTCAATCTGCGGGCGAAATGATCATTCTTATTTTCCGCAGGAACACGCTGTGACGTAATGGCGGCGAAACGTCGAGCTCCCCTCGTCACACTCCAAATCCACAAGGTTGAATGGAGACGGTCATTTCGTAGCACACTTACAAACATCAAAGACGTTTTGTCGTGGCAATCGCAAATCACGATTTTTAGGGGGAGGATTGGGGCTATGTGTGGAAGGCCGGGGGAGGGGGGGCGAGTCGTCGTGTCTACCTGACCAGCTACACCGTTCATTAATATGTATTGAAAATATTGAAATCTATCGAGTCATATCAACAAAGATTTTAAGTTGGCCTATTATTATTGATGAAAGGTGTGATTGCCAAGATCATACTATTAGTTCGGTTACAAATGAATTAGCTAATAGAAATGTTCGGTACTGCAATTTTGCTAAAAGCTAGATCCTTACTTTCAAACAAAGCCTTATTAATCCTTTACCGGACTTTGATTTTGGCTTCAACTATGGAACAGTTTGGACAAAGATTGAATCAACATTAATGATTTATATAACTTCAAAAAAGCTTGAGGCTGATCCTCCAAAACTCTACTCGTACTAGCCGAACAATTTTGGAGAGATATATGAACGAACGAAGTCATTTCGTCACACATAATTGGGGCGTGACGAGATGACCATGTGACGAGATGACCATGTGACGAGATGACCATGTGACGAGATGACCGGTGTTACCGTTTTGTGCTTGATGTGGTATAACCACGTGTGTTACAATTGAAGTGTCTTTTTTCATTGCTGTGTGTGTGTATGTGTGTGTGTGTATGTGTGTGTGTGTGTGTGTGAGTGTGTGTGTGTGTGTGTGAGAGAGGGAGAGAGAGAAAGAGAGAGAGA